AAAAACAAAATTTGTGTTTTTTTCAAGAAGAGAAAACGTTTTTTTTTTCAACGTTTTTTTCTATTAGAAAAAAATAGTTCTTTTACATCTTTAATTGCATTACATTTTATAAATGTGCATAATATAGATGTATATATGGTTACATAATACATTTTTAATTTTAAGGAGATCCTGGACTACCGACCGAACGCAATTTTTTGAATTTACCAGTTTTTGTAATGGCTATACAGAATTACAAATGCTTTTACACGATTAAAGTACATACATCAATGCTCTATGGGACAGTCGACTTTATGCTGAAAACGAAAAAAAGTTAAAAAATGTTTTAACTTTTTTTCGTTTTCAGCATAAAGTCGACTGTCCCATAGAGCATTGATGTATGTACTTTAATCGTGTAAAAGCATTTGTAATTCTGTATAGCCATTACAAAAACTGGTAAATTCAAAAAATTGCGTTCGGTCGATAGTCCAGGATCCCCTTAACAAAGATTTAATCATATTGTTTTAATGAAATGTGCCAATATTAATAGAGTTATCTGTCGATGATATCCACTTACTATTGAACCAACATCTCACGACGCCGAATTCTGGTCGGATGAAGTTTTTTGGCACGCTGGGAACGAAATCCATGATGGCACATATAATAGTGAGGATGGAGGCGCTTCCCCATGCGTAGATCGAATACATTATAAACTTCTTTTTTTCTCGTTGTCTCACGCTTCCTTGTAATGAGCGGAATCCTCTAATGAAAATACGGTTTATATATTATATTTAGCCAGTAATAAGTAGGACAAAACTCATAATGTAAATGTAGAAGAAATTACGGTTGAGACGGATTGAAGATAATACGGATTTTTTTAATAACCTTTTTTGTTTAAAAATTAATCTACAAACATAGTAAATGTTGCAAAAATATCTTTCAATTTTTTACTGTATACAATTTTTTTTCAAGAAAAATTATAATTTATTTTTTCACATTAATAAAGTATCAGAAGGCGACATTTGTAACAATTAATCCTGAACGCGAGGTTAGTTCTTATGATATCTGGGATAAATTGTAATATACAGGGTGGTCCTCGTAACGGTCGCTACGATTTTTAAGGCACTTACAATAATCTGACATAAAAAAGTCATAAACAGAAATTTATCAGTTTCTAACCGGCAACAAATTGCAATAATAAAAATTGACCAAACATTTTTTTTCCATAAAAAAGCAAGGTCACCTTCAATTTTTTAAATGGAAATAACTACTTTTTACTGCATATTCTTGTAGTTTAACTCAAGAGCTTTCCAAAACACTATAATAAAGCATTTTTTCATTAAGTACTTTTTGAGTTATTTTATATTTTAATCTGACATATTTTGATATAAAAATTAAAATATCTCGTAAAATATTTAGTTTTCGATAATCTTACCGTAACACATTTATGTACAGAATAATGAGGCAAATCAATTAGTTTAAAAAAAACAAATAGTTGTTTAAAAAAATACATTATAAATAATTACATACTTTTTCTTAAAAACAATTATTTTTTTTTACTAATTGATTTGTCTCATTATTCTGTACATAAAAGTGTTACGGTAAGATTATCGGAAACTAAATATTTTACGAGATATTTTATTTTTTATATCAAAATATGTCAGAATAAGATATAAAATAACTCAAAAAGTACTTAATGAAAAAATACTTTATTATAGTGTTTTGAAAAGCTCTCGAGATAAGCTACAAGAATATGCAATAAAAAGTAGGCAGTTCCATTTAAAAAAACCTAAGGTGACCTTGCTTTTTTATGGAAAAAAAATGTTTGGTCAATTTTTATTATTGCAATTTGTTGCCGGTTAGAAACTGATAAATTTCTGTTTATGACTTTTTTATGTCAGATTATTGTAAGTGCCTTAAAAATTGTGGCGACCGTTACGAGGACCACCCTGTATATAATTCTAATATTATAATTGTAATATATATAAATTCTTTCAAAAATTAGTTAGGTAAACTAATAGAAAGAAAAGTATACCAAAGATAATTTTTATTAATTTAAATAAAAAACAATTTTTTAAAACTTTTAAGCAGTTAAGAAACTTGTTATACCAATCGTTTCGCTAATATTAGATTATATTACACTGTGAAATGCATGATGATTTATTTTCTTGTTATATATAAACCAGCAATAACAACTTATCCCGTTCATCCATCCCTATATTGTTATATTTAATAATTAAGATTATAAATAAAAAAAGAGTGATTGGCTTTCAAGAAATCAATGTAAATGGAAATTGTAAATGGATTTGTGTATGTGTGTGTGTGTGTGTGTGTGTGTGTGTGCGCGCGCGCGCGCGTGTGTGTATGTGTGTAAGTGGAATTTATAAATGGAAATTGTAACAATTTATGAAATTATTAAGCTCTCAAGTGAAATTACAAGTTTAAATAATCTGGCTAATAAGTACGATATCCGCGTTTGGCTCTTACTAATTCGCGATTATTTAAACTGGAAATTGTAAGTTATAAACTCTCTAGAATTTCTAAGTTCTTAAAAGAACATTACAAATTTTCATATAACCAGATATAAACAGATTTAGAAATATAACAGTAATTTTTTCTAATTTCGGGTGTAGAAAGTGATAAATGTTATTTATCTTAGAAAATGTTATACATCACAAAAAGAGTTATTGATTTATTAATATTACATTTACAATATTATAAATCTTAAAACAGTGTTGCTGTCATCCAAGAAAAAATTGAATTTAACAACTTGTCTCGTGTCAATCAAATTTGATTTTTTAAAAATAAAAGTAAAGATCAATATCAAATGACTTTAAAAATCAATAATAAATTAGTAAATTCTTTATTAATAGATTTCGTGATCTTTTTATTTTTGTATTAAGATTTTTAACTCTATTTTATCTGAAGAATATATTATAATAATACATTAATAAAAAAAAAGATAGGGAACACTTTTAATACGCTAAAAATTGAGCTACTTTCAAACTACTGAAACTCGGCGAAATATCAACATAGACAAAAAACTAAAAAAGCATTTTGTAGCTTGAAGTTTCAGCTTTAATAGCTATGGGTTTAAAAGTATAAAAAATTTGTTTATCTTCCTTGTTATGTGCTTTAAAAAAGAATACATTGTTTTGTTCCCTAAAATTACGTATTTTTGACACTCTTTAATTTAATATAATTGACACTATTTAATAATTGACTCTTTAATATTAAATTAAATTAAATTCTTAATACATTCAAAAAGTCTTAATACACATATGCCCTAAAGTCGATTGTTTCAAAGTTATAGCGAAAAAACAAAATTGCATAAAATAAGAACAATATTATTTATTAAAGATAATATTATTTATTGATAATTAAACAATAATTAAACGATAATTAAACAATAATTTACTTTATAAACTACTTTATAAATTGTTCAAAGTGACCACTATTTTGGTCTACACACACTTCTGCTCTTTGAATTATTGATGTTGTAGAACGCAAAAGAAGTTCCGTATCATTACGTATGATATATTATTACAAGCGTCTGTTATTTTATTTAATAACTGCTGCCGATTGACTGGCTTATCCGCAAAGACTAGAAATAAAAAAAGAAAAAAAAATGAATATCGGCATATTCTTCATTGGAAAATGTACTCATGATTGATAGGTAAGAGAAATTTCTAAGCTATGTTTATGCGATGTTTTCATTTAAAACGACAGTCAATTTATTAATATTATCTTGTGTGGCAAGTGTGGAAAACAATGAATTAAGTCGAGTATAAAGTTGCCGCATTCGCTTCAGCTCATGCGGCAACTTCATGCGCGACGTAGTTCTCCAACTTTATTAATAACTTATATTTTTTTAATGAATTTATTATGACCTTTATAAATATTTGTTTTGTGTATGTGTTCGGTATATCTTCTATAAAGATGGACATGCGTATTTATAGGTGTGTATAAGGACAACACATGACATCGCTATACGTATAATGTGTGCATGCAATAAAGAAGAAAATTAACTCAATTCTGAGTATACGGCCGCGCGCATGACACTCTTGCCGTAATTGATTACAAGAGAACGCACAGCATACGCACATAGATAGTCGTCACACCCTCGTAACAACGTGACGACTGTAGGCTTGGCGACAACAGATCATCCGCATAATACGGAAACAGTAAATAGTGACACGAAATCGTGATGGAATTTCATTGACACGCAAAAGATAAAAAATTACTTCGTGGTATCACTCTGCGTGAATAAAGAAAAAAAAATGAAAGAGCGCAAAACGAATGAAGAAACGCGTACGTATAGGTCGCAGGTACAATCAAAAACATATGTATTATATTATGTACTATATTATATGTGTGTAATGTATGTGATAACACATTGTTAAATTGATTATCATGAGCGATAATTACTTATATGTTGTAATCTTTTCCTAATTTTATTTAGAAGGTATATTATTTTCTTTTTTTAAATACGTTTTGAATCACGTTAGAATATATAAGAGAATATATAAGATTACGTTAGAATAGAATATAAGATTAACAAAATATATTATAATATTATTTGACTACAGCAGTGAATTTACGCTCTCTTGCATATGTCGATGTTTGGGAATATACTCTACTGATATTTTCCGAGCACCAAATATATTGCCTGATTGGAATGGCTTCTTGGACCGACGTCCGACCGCGAACGAGATCAAAATTAACTCGACTATGTTTGCGCCATATACGCGCGTCAGTCACGTACCGGATATTAATTCGCGTCCTGTCGCTATCAATTTCCTCCCTATGTTTATCAATTATCAAATTTCTTTGCTATAAGCGCCGGATCAAGTGGCGTTTGTAAAAATATTTGACGAATCAATTAACCCATTTTGACCTACAACTCGAACTAGGAACGTTTCATCTTTGGTAAACCATAATTAATGTCTCGATTATAATTACGTAAACATATATCAAATATAAATAATTGATTTAAATTAAAAGTATAAGGCTCTATAGATAAACATCTGGAAGGGTAACAATGGCAATATGAGCCTAGCGCGAGTATTCGGGCGCAATAAGTTTATTTTTAACAAAGAATAAATATAAGTTAACAAGTAAAGCGGACTGACGTTTCGGCTCTTTTTGGAGCCATCTTCAGCGTACTAGTTTAATTCGCAAATTTCTACACAGTTCGCATTATATATAAGTCAAAGAATTAAAATTACAAATCAATATCAATCAAATCAAATAAATAAATAAAATAAATAAAATAATATCGGTGTGTCTGGGTACATTATATATAAGGTCAGAAAAATAAATAATCGATAAATAAAAAGATGTAAGGTAATGTAATCGGTGTGTCTATACGCATTGCCATCGCCGAAACTCTCCTCGATTATAACAGAAATTATGTACATCACATTTTCAAATGTCTGTAATATATAAACGGTTTATATGGTCGGTGACGTGAGAGAAAGCCAATATGAAATTATAAGATTACTTACACGCACACGAGTATTTAGGTAACATAGCGAGAGATGATCAGCGAAGAATTACAATTATATAATGATAACACGACTCTTAATGATTAAAAAAGTTTTTCCATTTTTAGCAACCAGCGGCGCAAATAAATACAAGGTCAATTAGTACGATATTAAAGTTAGTTAAAATATATAAATAAATACTACACATCGACAAGTGGAATAGTTACGCGGAAAATATTGGACAATGAACCACATATGCATAAGAGATTGATTTCCGAGTTTCTTATACATTAAAAGGCAGAAAAATAGTTTAAATTTACAGACAGACACGGAATGTCTCCCCGAAACATACTCCACCGTATTCGATAAGTTCTCCAAAATATAACCGACTCAATTAACTTTAAGTGTAGGTTGTATATAACTCCGTAACGTCAAAAAATATTTAAAAAAAAATTAATTTTGACAAATGTAAAAAACGCATATCATTAATTTATTATTGTGATTCGATTTCCGTTATACCTCTCTCACGTCACCGATCATATAAACCGTTTATATATTACAGACATTTGGAAATGTGATGTACATAATTTCTGTTATATTCGAGGAGAGTTTCGGCGATGGCAATGCGTATAGACACACCGATTACATTACCTTACATCTTTTTATTTATCGATTATTTATTTTTCTGACCTTATATATAATGTACCCAGACACACCGATATTATTTTATTTATTTTATTTATTTATTTGATTTGATTGATATTGATTTGTAATTTTAATTCTTTGACTTATATATAATGCGAACTGTGTAGAAATTTGCGAATTAAACTAGTACGCTGAAGATGGCTCCAAAAAGAGCCGAAACGTCCGTCCGCTTTACTTGTTAACTTATATTTACTCTTTGTTAAAAATAAACTTATTGCGCCCGAATACCCGCGCTAGGCTCATATTGCCATTGTTATCCTTCCAGATATAAATAATTGATTATAATAAAAATGGTAATCCAAATGATCATTCTCAAGATATACTAATTCGATTCAACTATAGCACATTTTCAAAACAAAAGATATTTTTTATATTCAGCAACTTACCCAAATGTCCACCAAATGTCGAAACACATCACATTTAGCCAGAAAAAGCTTGCCAAAAATGAGAAGTGGATGACGAAGGCTGAAACAGATAAATAATCAGCATTTTAATCTCTATTAAATATTCAGTATAAAAAAACTATTAAGTATTCAGCATAAAAAAAACTAAGAAAAATGATATCTCTCTTGCATGTGTTCGAAAAAAAATTTTTGTTATTTTTGGTTAAACTATTGTTATTTTATTTATTCATTATTATATAAAATTTAAATGTTAAATATTTATTTTGTTTCTCTCAAAGTTTTTTTTATTAATATCAATAAATTTCTTCAATAAATTTTAATTATTTTTAATTATCTGTTTTTTTTTCGCAAACAATTGATTTTATTGTTTAAAATGCCAAAGTTCTCCAATTGTTTATAAATACCATGTAAAAAACTTTCTTTACACTTAAATATTTCTTAAATAATACAAAGTTATTTTAATTTTGTATTTTTTGTGTATTATGTAATAGACAACTTAATTTTCATTATAACTGATTGTATACATTAATTTTATATCAATTCTTGTTACATTAAAGCATAATTTCCGGAAAATTTGGATAACAAAAAGAAAGATATTTATCCAAATAAATTCAAGTTGATTATATATATATCGTAAGATGCACCCCAAAAATTTAAATTCTACCCACTATTAATTATCCGTTAATTTTTAAGGTTTCAATAATTTATGCAGTTATTATATCAAAGAGCAACAGAATGAAAGAAAGAGAGAATAATTAACAAACGAGTATACATTGATAAGTATTCTCAAATGTATTATATTGTATTGTTATATAATCTGGGTATGCTGTACCCAGTGTAATGCAGACGGAATACGCTATAGCATTTGGTTGGGTTAGCTGGAGCACCACGAGGATTGTATAGGCGACGAACAACGATGCAACATATCCGCGGAGCGTGTAGCCGTGCATGCTCATTAGTTCTGGCAGTATAGAGTACACCACAAATGTCGCCAGTAGAAACGGCAGGGATACTATAAGGCCCACGGGTATACCGAGTGGATGATTTACATCGGATATCTCGTTATCAGAGGTCTCGTTCATGGTCTCGAAACAGACGGTCACCTCAAACTTGTCCAGATGTACGACGGCGAGGCAATAGGATGTCGATGGAATGAAATCCACGTGATGCGGTTGGTACAAAGAGCCATTGGTGAGAAACATATACTCATCGTTCGGATGCTCGGGATCGTCGGGATTAAGTAAAAAACGTCCAGTTTGCTGACATGGATCGTAGACGACCAGTTTAAATAGTTTATCCAATTTTTTATCTTCTTTCTGTAGCGAATCGCTCGTTATGTAACTATATACATCTGGAAAAGGATAATTACCTTTTCCAGTGATGCATTTCTCTTCAATCAAACGATCGCCGAGGGGGCAACAGAGTGGAATGCAGATAATATTATCGCAAATTTCATATGGAAAAATGTTGTTTTTCTTGTCGTTTTTATTGGTTTTTTTATGGAATTTATATAATGTTAAGTTGCCTTTACTTTCGATTTGTGTCAGGTTTCCACGAAGTTCATATGACGTAAAGTTGTTCTTGTCTTCGGTTCTCGTAAAGTTTCCATAAATTGACATGGAGTTGTTCTTGTCGTCGATGTTAGTAGAGTTCACTCCAAGCTCCATCAGTATTTGATTGCTTTTCTTATGATCCTTTATGGAATGCGGACGAAATTCATATCGTGTCGAATTATCATCTTCGTGGTAGTTAGTTGAGTTAGTATGGAATTTATATTGTACATTATCGTTATCCTTAGTGGAGTTTTCGCTCAAATTATGTTGCAACAATTCTACTTTATCTCCATGATTTCTTGTAGAATTCGTGTAAAATGTATCGCTTGTGGAATTCTGTCGAAGTTCTAAGGATGAAACGACGAGTAAAAACGTGCCACACCAAAACGCGGAACTTTGTTTATACATTGTCAATTTATTGGTGCATCGAATTTACTAATATTTTAATTACGGCTTGCTTTTTTTACAGCCTTGTCAGATGTCCGGTAACCGCAGTGATATCACAGACTACGGAAACGAGAATACGTAATATAGTCAGTCTGCAATGCCTTGACTGCAGCAGGAACACTTTTATCCCGGCAAAGGACGAATCTGCTGGCAAACGCGCGAGTGCATGCTAAAAAGAGAATCACGCCGATAAGAAGCCATCTCGTTAAGATAGATTGGCCGAAAATGATAATAGGATGACGGTAAAGGGACGTTAATTCCTTTGAGTCTCATAGTCTGATTTGCGAGAGGTATGATTTGGAAAATGGTACAATGTAAATGTCTGTTTCGAATTGTTTTTACAATTCGTTTTAGAGTAGCCGAGATAAGTTATTGGCTTGAATTCCATGAACATTTTTCTTATACTCTGTTTTCAATATCTTTAAAAAAATTCTGAGAGAAGAGTAATTTAAAATAATTACTTAAAATAATTAATTTAATATAAGTAAATCGATCAGATTTAGCCATATAATTTCAATTATTATTATCATTAGATAGATTTTAAATTTTGTATGAATATTTGAAAAATTTTATATTGAATTAGACTATACTTATTTTCTATGTTAGTTGAATAAAAAAAGCAAGCAGTTACATATTAAGTGCAAATGTAGAAGCAGAATAATGAAAAGAAGCGAGCTAAGAAAAAGTATACTCCAATGACGCATTCTAATTATGTAATTAATTATATAATTCAAGCATATTTGTCTTTTGAGAGTCATTGTTCAAGTATTCTGCTTATACCTATTATACGATGAATATTAGAAGAATCGTGAACTTTACATCATAAACATACATCATAAACTATAAATAAATTGTAAATAGCGCTATAACGAACATATAACTTTCTTAAATGTCACTACTTATGTCTGCAGAAAAGCAGAGAGATATTGCGAGAACTTGTTTAGAAAGTTGGCGCGCGTTTATATTAAATACTCTTTCTTTAATCCGCAATATTTCTAACAGCACATTTTATTCAATGACACTATCTCTAGGATACGCTATGCATAATATAAAATAATTCGAGACAAGGAAAGCCGTCAAAATTCAAAAATCGATAACAACGATGTTTAATACAGTCGGAGATTTTCG